AAACAAGGTGAGAATATGGCACAGTGACTGCTAAGTCAAAGGAGCTTGATCAGCGGTAGCCTCAATGATCTGTGTTAATTGCAGATCACAGGTTTCCTCCTTCACCTTTGAGCCATGGTGGACTCAAAATCACACAGCCTTTCCTTTCTTGTCTTCTCCTGTTACCGCAGACTCTTCTTTATTTGTTACATCAACCTTTTCAAATAGTTGCCTTAGTGATTCTGGAGGACAGATAGTCCTTGATGCGCTTCAATAGTTGGATGGGCGGTGGGGAGACATTTTCAACTAGTTTCTCAGATTGTAGAACATTGCAGTTCAATAGAAATGCAAGTCACATATGCAATTTTAAATAGTTTACTCATAAATTGTTGTTGTTGTTAAGTGCCGTTGAGTCAGTTCCAACCCACAGTGACCCTGTATAGGGTTTCTAAGGAGCAGCTGGTGAGCTTGACCTGCCGACCTTGAAGTTCAAATGGCTTTGCAGTTTGGCGCATTAACCCACAGCGCCACACCAGGACTCCTTACTCATAAACAAACGCTGTAAATATTTGTAGAAACAGATGGTCATATCTTTCTTCACTGTGCCTCAGGGCTCCTTAAAACAATAATTTATTAGGCACTTAATCAAGGTCAACAGTTCAAACACACCAGCCGCTCCTCAGAAACCCTATACAGGGTTGATATGAGTTGGAACCAACTCAATGATACTTGACAACAACAACAACAACAACAAGGCACTTAAAAATTAAGAAGAGGTGAAATTCATTCTAATTTGACTTAATTTCTACTGAACTCTATATAATGAAAGTATTATTTTGACATGTAATCAATATAAAAACTATTAAAGAGCCATCTCACATTCTTCTTTTCATACTAAACCTTTGAAATCTGATGAATATTTTATTCTTTGTTGTTGTGATTGTTAAGTGCCGTCGAGTCGGTTCCGACTCATAGTGACCCTGTATAGGGTTTCGGAGGAACTGCAGGTAAGTCTTGCCATCCATCATTTCAAGTGCCCAAAAGTAACGTATCGCAAGTGACTGCTGTCGTAGTTAACTTGAATGTACATGCAGCAAAATAGAGACAGCAAGAAGACTTCACTGGAATTTCATAGAATGAACGCAAGCTCTAGCTTCATTCCTTATCATTTGGGTGACTTGAAGCAATTAACTTAAATGTCGTCTCAGTTACCTCATCGACTAAATAGGCCTAATTAAACAAAATTCCTAGAGTAGAATGTGTCAAATACTGGTTCACGCTTTCCAGTATTAACCCATTTCGTCCTTATTATAAGCATTTAAAGATGCTCAACCACCCCCCCCCCCCCAGGGTAATTGTAGGAGCGCTGTCAGGCCTATAGGATAAGCACTGGAATGCTTTTCTACCAGTCACTCTATGACTTTCTGCCTCCATAGATTTATAGCCTCAGAAACCCTACATAGGGTCGATATGAGTCAGAATTGACTTGATGGCAGTTAGTCATTTAGAGGTTAATTGTAACAAATGTTGTTGGCAGCTCTGGAACACATGTCTACTTCTTCCTGGTGTACTTCTGTCTGCCAGATAGAACGCTAAGAGAGAGATGAGGTTGGCTGCTCTTGTAAAGATTTACAGTCTCAGAAATTCTATGGTGGCTCACTATAAGTTGGAATTGATTCCATGGCAGTAGGTTTGGTTTGACTTGGTTGTAATGGCTAGAAGAGAAGAAAAACTCTTGGCAAGAGATTGGCACATGCTTGCCATACATAATCTTACTTAATTCTCATCCCTCAATAACCTTCACCACAAAATCACCTTAATTCTGCAGATAAGGAAACTGAAGCTGACAGAGACTTCACCAACACATCCCTAGTAGATATCAGAGGTGGGAATAAAGCCATGATTTGTCCAATTGACCATCCAGAACTCTTTCCCTGATTGGCTGCAACATCTCTTAGAATGATGAATGTTGGAGAAAGAACAGTATAAGTCTCAAGAACAGCTCAAGTCTTAGGAAGACATGTACAAAGATGGTTAGAATGAAAAGACCACTATCTTTAGAGCCCTAATTGGATGGGTGTAAATCTCTGTGCCCCAACTGGAAGTGTGTGATACTAGACAGAATTTGAGTCTCCTAGGTCTTGGTATTGTCACCTGAAAGTGGGGAGTAATACTCGTTATCACAAATGATTCTGAAGTTTAAATGGGAGAAAGGAATGACTCCAAGCACAGACCAGATGTATTTTCTCTAGAATTCTAGAGCAGATGGTTCTTACACTTCATTGACCATAAAAATCACTTGGGGTGATTATAAAAATTCAGAGTCCTGGATTCCCACCAAAGGTTATGATTCCAGCAGGTCTGAATTTATGTTTCAAAACTATGAGCATTAAACAAACATTCCAGGCAATCTGATTCAGAATTTGAGGAGCATAGTGGCAGTTCTGGCGATTAGGGTCTCTATTGGATTGTGATGGTTCTGTTCAGAGTCATAAAAATGTGTGTCCATTTCAAGATCAAGGCTTTGTTCCTGGAAGTATCCCAGATGATTTCCTCTTATCTACTGATCATAACTTAATCACAGGTCCACTCCTAAACCAATCACTGCCAAGGACCAGGAGAATCCCATGGTTGACTTAAACTGCCTGTGATATCTGTCTTGGATTGGGATATATAGTTACCCTATTTTCAGGGAATTCTGTTGATAGGAAGAAGTAGACAGATGCTTTGGGGCTGCCAAAATGTATGTTGTAACTACCCCCTAAAAGACCCACTGCCATTGAATTGATTCGGACTCCTAGTGACCCCGTAGAGGGTTTCTGAGGCTGTAAATCTTGACAGAAGCAAAGAGCCTCAGAGGGATTGGTGGGTTAGCCTTCCAGTGCTTAACCTGCAGCACAACCAGGGTTCCTACAACTGCCCCAGTCATTGGAAATGTGAAATGAGAGAAAGTTGGTTGAAATCTTTGCTCTACCTCCTAGTATTGAAGCAAGCGACCATGAGTAGAAAACATGACTGCCTTGCATCTCAGTGTCGTCTTATGAAAACTGGAAATGTTTGTTTTATAGATATATCAATCAACGAAATGAGATACTATAAGTAAAACAGTTAAGAAGTTCCAAAGAACCAAACAGGTAACCAACACATATTTGGACCAACATATTCTTCTTCATCCCTGAGAGTGCTGAGCCCATCCAATGGTCAAAGAGCATCCTGTTCATCTGGCCATGACGATGGGCGTCCTGTGGCACAGAATTCACAAGATGCAATACTTCTTGTCTATTACCACTCACTGATCCTTGCAGCTGTTTGTCAAAACTAACCAAATATTAGGTCTCCTCTCTCACAATGATATGGCACTGTAGGATAAGCACTGGGCTGCAAGGTCACTTTGAACTGCAAGGTCGGCAGTTCAAACTCACCAGCCACTCCTCAGAAACCCTATCTGGGTTCACTATGAGTCAAAACCCACTCAACAGTACTTAACAACAACAAAAGAGAAACATGAAATGTGGGATGGGAATGTCCTCAGACAGAGAATAACAGTCTGAGCCTGCGTCTTTCTGACTGAGCCATTAAAGATGCCTCTTGGTTTCTCATGCCTCCTGGTGTGGCACTGTAGGATCAACATTGGACTATGAAATCAAAATGTTGGCAGTTCAAACCCACCAGCTGCTACTTAGGAACTCTGTACAGGGTTGCTGTGAGTTGAAATTGACTCGATGGCACTTAACAACACAGACCTTTTATTTAAAACATTTTTTTGCCTTTTGATTGTGGTAAAATGCACATAACATAAAATTATCAGCTTAACCATTTTCAAGTGTAGAATTAAGTGATAAGCATATTTACATAATTGTGCAACCCTAAGCACTATCGAGTTCTGGAATTTTTACATCATCCCAAAGAGAAACTCTGTAATCTTTAAGAAATACCTGCCCATTTCCCAGTCTCCACAGCCCCTAGGAACCTCTAGTCTAACTTGAATCTCTCTGAATTTGCCTAGCGTGTATCTTTTATATAAGTTATTGTTGTTGTTAAGTGCCGAGGAGCAGCTGGTGGGTTTGGACTGCTGACCTTGTGGTTCCAAGTCCAGAGCTTATCCTACAGCGTCATTCCAGAAGTCCTTTTCATGCTACATCATGAGTGTACCTTGAAAACAGTACGCTAAGTGAAAAGACCAAGTATTCTATGATTCTATATAACATTTGGACTTTTCATTTAGTCCAAGTATGATACGATTATATATATGATAGATTCATTTATATGATAGATTCATTTAGTCCGAGTGTTGAATGATTCTATATAACATTTGGACTTTTCATTTAGTCCAAGTATGATACGATTACATATATGATAGATTCATTTGTATGATAGATTCATTTAGTCTGAGTATTATATAATTCTATATAATACTTGAATTTTTCCTTTAGTCCAAGTATGATATGATTATATATATGATATATTCATTTATATGATAGATTCATTTAGTCCAAGTATTATATGACGTGATATAGTACTTGGACTTTTCATTTAGCATACTGTTTTCAAGGAGCAATTATATTGTAGCATGTATCAGTCTAATGAGGCAATGAACATCAGTGTACACATATTTTTGGAGTACCTGTTTTCTCCACATGTTCTTTGCTCAATATTTTTCTCTTAGATGGCAAGGATGTTATGTTCTCTAGTTAAGCAAGTGGCTTTGATGTTGACAATTGTGGGGAAATGTTGCAAGATGCAATCTTGCCCCAAGGGTCTGATAGAAAGTTGTTTGCCAATTTATAAGTGTGAGTACGCACCATGGTGAGTAAGCACAGGGGCAGTGGTGAGAATTTTCTGACTGGAATGTAGTTGTAGAGGAAAGAGAGAAAGGTGTGAGTGGGAAAGTCAATAAATGCTTTTTTTTATCTGCTGGTTCCCATATCAGCTAGTCAATGAGGTCAGAGGGCATGGAGAAACTGTATTCAAGCCATAACAAGAAATGAGCATTAATTACTGAACTATTTCAGGAGTGGACGATGGAGTTCAATTTCTCTCTTCCCATGAATGTGTCTGGAGTGACCGAACCTCAGTCTTCCATCCATGTCATCCTAGATATCTTCTGTTTGGTGATACTGGGAGTCACCTTTGTCCTCGGCACCCTGGGCAATGGGCTTGTGATCTGGGTGGCTGGCTTTCGGATGACACGAACAGTCACCACCATCTCTTACTTGAACTTGGCCTTAGCTGACTTCTCTTTCACTGCCACCCTGCCATTCTCCATTGTCTCTCAGGCCATGGGAGAACTATGGCCTTTTGGGTGGTTCCTATGCAAGTTAATTATGACTGTGGTGGACATAAATCTGTTTGGAAGTGTCTTTATCATCGCTCTCATTGCGCTGGACCGCTGTATTTGTGTCCTGCATCCAGTCTGGGCCCAGAACCACCGCACTGTTGGTCTGGCCAAGAAGGTGATCCTTGGACCCTGGATTCTCGCCTTGCTTTTCACCTTGCCAATGATCATTCGTGTGACTACAATATCTCTTCCCTATGGGACAGTCTGCACTTTGGACTTTGCACCCTGGGCTGAAGATCGTCGAGAGAAGTTGAGGGTGAACATTATCATGCTGCTGGTCAGAGGGATCATCCGGTTCATCATCGGTTTCAGCATGCCCATGTTCACTGTAGCTATCTGCTACGGACTTGTCGCTGCCAAGATCTACCAACAAGACCTGATTAAGTCCAGCCGTCCATTGCGTGTCCTCTCTTTCGTCGTAGCTGCTTTTTTTATCTGCTGGTTCCCATTTCAGCTAGTGGCGCTCATATCTACCATCAGAATTGGAAAAGGACTGCTGATTGACAGCTATGACTTTACAGTCATGGTAAAATTGACCAGTGCTCTGGCCTTTTTCAACAGTTGCCTGAATCCAATGCTCTATGTCTTCATGGGCCGGGACTTCCGAGAGAGACTGATCCACTCCCTACCCGCCAGTCTGGAGAGAGCCCTGACTGAGGACTCAGGCCAGACCAAGGACAGTACTGCCCATTCCCCTTCACCTTCTTCAAATGCTGAGTTACAGGCAGTGTGAGGAGGAGGGTGAGAGGTGTTAACACGCTCAATCTCTGCCTTTCTCTACCTTGCTCACCTTGAGCTAGACTAACCCACAAATACTTCTCGCTTATCTTAGGGTTATCCACTCAAGAAGAAACAGTGTTCATGTCTTTGATCTTGGGGGTGGGGGAGAAATAAGCATGAGGATACTACTGATGTCTTTTTCGGTGATTGCTTGTGTTAAGTGCTGTTGAGTCGATTCCGACCCATAGTGACCTTGCTTAGGGTTTCTGAGGCTGTAAATCTTGACGGGAGCAGAAAGCCTCTATCTTTCCCCCGCAGAACCGCTGGTAGTTTCGAACAGCTGATCTGGAGATTAGCAGCCAGATTCATAACCACGACGCTCCCAGAGTTCCTTGAGTCTAGGGTAGGTTGTTTGTTGTTAAGTACCATCCAGTCAGTTCAGACTCATGCTGACTCTTCGTAATAACAGAATGAAACGATGCCCAGGTTTGTTACAGCCTCAGAATGATTGCTGCTTCAACCCACTGTTGCAGCTATTGTGTCACTTCCTCTAATTCTACGTCTCCCTCTTTTTTTTTCATTTTGCTGACCCTCTTCCAAGCATGATCACCATGTCAAGCAATTAGTTTCTCTTGAAGTCATGCTTCAAAATATGTGAGACAAAGTGTCTTCATCCTCACTTTTAAGGAGCATAAGGAGACTCTACTTGGCTACAGACATTCCTGAATGAGACCTATTATGCTGGAAGAATGACCAATTGTACCCACTTCTCGTCTCAAAAGTGTCCCATGGTGGACAATACATTCTAGGGTCACCTTAGGGACAAGGTGACAGGACTGTGAAAAGACATAACATGAAAGTCCTCAGCTTGTATTGGTCAGTGAGGAAAACAGTTCTCTAGACACCTGGTGTGACACTCTAGAATCAACAATGGATTGAGAACTACAAGGTTGGTGGTTCAATCCTACCAGCTGCTCCTTAGAAACCCTATACAGGGTTGCCATCAGTTGGAACGGACTCCATGGCACTTAATAGCAACAACACCAACTGAAAACCCCTTTCTCCCTGAGGAGATAGGGATGGAGACAGTCTTATCTGGAGCCCTAGATCTCAGGGATCTAGATAAGATTGCCTCCAGCCCTTAAATCATAAAGTTAGGGTAAAAAGCCTGGGTTTTCACTTGTGGCTCTTAAGTTCTGCTTCAATTGAATCCATTCAGCTCACACACTATCTGGTGCTTGTACTTGTTCTGAATGAAATTGATCCAGAGTGGAATGCAGTCATTTCCCTCCATATCCTGAAAAATTACACACATACTTTACCAAAGCTTGGCAAGCTGGGGATATTCACCGCTCAGCAACACAAAGAATTGCAAAAGCTTCCAACTGAACTTTAGACTTGTTTGTTTCTCTTCTCTTTGCTCCGTCATCCTTTCATATCACCCTCCTGCCATCCCACCCCCAGATTGCTGCTTTTTTACAATGTAGAGCAATTTACACAGCAGATCCTTGACTATTTGAATCCATTTGAATCTTTTCCCAATGCAATCTGCTTATCAACGATATCATCTTATGTAAGAGGATTTCTGGTGCCAGCTCTTGAAGGAATTATTTAAGGGTCACCAGAGGAATTTTAATTTGGCTACAAGTTATAAGAAAGACAGGAGGCAAAAAGGGACAAAGAGAGGCAAGGAGAGGACGAGAGGGGAAGCAGGAGTGTCCAGAGTCAATGAAAAGCTGAACATGCACTTTGATGAGCGGCTGGGAGACTACAGCTTCTTCCATTCTAGTTCATGGGCAGATTCATGGGTCTTGACTGCATGGTATCAGCCTTTGAGATCAACCTTGTGGCCTTTTTTGTACAAACGCCCAAAAGATTTCTGATGTTTGCATTACAGCGCCCAGGATATTAATTTAGTCTATTAGATAAGGTGCTGTCTGATCCTTATCTTCCTCTTGAACACAACGGGTCCCTAATAAGTGTTGTTGAACTACATCTTTTGTCTCTGTATTTCTTTGACAATTACCCAGAGTATTTTCAGATCCAGAAGTAATTTTTTATTTTATCTTTTTGTATGGAAGTGAAAATATACATACCAAAACATGCATCAACTCAATTTCTACATGTAGAGTTCAGTGATGTTGAACAGATATGTATTCTCTCACAATTAAAAAAAAAAATTTAGTCTAAAATTCAGAATGCTTGCTCCAGGGGGAAACTTTCTCTTTGTATGTGCTCTGGGGTAAAGATCTCTGTCTCCTTTCAACCTTGAAGCTCCAGCATTCCTTGGAGATGTCCATGTGTCTTGGCATCAATCTTTCCCTGGATCTAAGAGCTTCACAGCGCAGGGATCTCAGCCCAAAGGATGCCCTCCACTCCCGACTCATCTTCCTTGGTGGCACTAGGTCCTTGTTTCTCATTCTTTTACCTTGTGTAAGATCAAACAAGTTACATGCCACACCCTGGGGATCTCCTGTCCATGGGATCTGAGTTGTGGTGGGATTAAGGGTGGTAAATCCCACCCTTGGAGTCTTGTTGTGGCACTGTAGGGTAAGCACTGTACAACTAACCAAAAGGTGCTCCTCAGAAACCCTGTACAGGATCGCTGTGAATCGGAATGGACTCAACAGCACTTAACAACAACAACCCCACCCTTAGTTCTTTTATTTGGTTATCACATCAGATCATATCATGGGAGATCATCACATAACTGCCTAACCATTGAGAGTCATGGTGGAGCCAAGCTGACTCATATTTTCGCGGGGTACACAATTTAATCTATGACAAACCCTTTAGACAAAGGAATTACGGGGACCTTTAATGCAATATTATATCTAGTCACATGCCTGAAAATTTGGCCTTTGTTAGAAGACATTGGTTGGATTGGAAAGCTGCTCTTGCTGATGAATTGATGAGCTTGATTCACCAACTTTAGAAACAAAACAGATTTCTAAGACTAACAAATTCATGATCCTTCAATTACAACAGCCACAAAGGTGTATTCAGAAAAGAAAATGTAAACCCTTCATGTAAGATAAGCATTAGAATGCTGACCACAAGGACAGTGGTTCAAACCCACCATTTGCTCCTTCCTCTGAAACCCTATACAAGATCATTATGAGTCAGAACCAATTTGATAGCATTTAAAATAGCAACAACAATAAATCTAAAACTGGTCTCTGACATTATTGTAAAAAAAAAAAAAAAAAACTTGATCATTGGAAAAAATAATGTTTGAGTTGAAAAATTAATGTTTGTAATGTTGAAGGATTCCATTCCAACCACTCTTCCATGGTCTGATTCAGGATGGATGATCTGAGGCCTAAGCCCACTGAAATCCACCCTGCCAGAGGCCATATGCATAGGAAAGGGTTGGTCCAAGGTAGAGGAAAAGACTGAACTTGAGTGTTTTAAAGATTTTAACTGCCTTTTAGATATTGGTTTTTCCTGCCTACTATTGTAAAGGAGCTCTGGTAGCGTAGTGGTTACGAATCGGACTGCGAACCTTAAGGTCAGCGGTTCGAAACTACCAGCCGCTCCGCGGGAGAAAGATGAGGCTTTCTACTCCCGTAAAGATTTACACCCTCGGAAACCCTGTACAGGGTCGCTATGGGTTGGACCCGACTCGATGGCACTCAACAACAACAACAACAACATATGTGTGTGATAGGAATAGTGAGTGTGATGATTACAGACACTTGTAAGCCCGCCTTCAGCCTATACTAGATTGGATTTGCCAAAAGAGGAGTTCCCTGGAAAAAATAGACCTCTTGCTTTAAACTTTTGCAGAATATGGGGCTTTAGGAGGACTCCTGAGCCCCATCCAGAACCTTCAGAGTTGGGACATTTGAATTTGAAAAGACATGCAGACCAACACAGGACTGCTGGGAGAACCAGAGATTCAAGCACAAAAGAAAAGCAGACAGTTTGGCATTTTTCGTTTCAGAGGAAATCCCCTACTACGACTGAAATTTAAAGGGAACCAGAGCCTTATGCTCGCCTTATGCTCGAATATGTGTGGGTGGAATTGGGGGAAATGCAGCAATGAAACCCAGTCTGAGTGTGGACATGTTTTCTTGGCACCCATTTGTGTTCTAAGGGCACCCATTGACCTTGAGATAAGAGAAGCAGGAAGCCTGGCTGGTCAGAAGTTTAGGGACATGTGTGAACACCTGAGCCCACGGGCCCTGACCTAGCCAAAGGGGCCTAGGGCTGAGAGTGAAGGGGGGCAGCTGATTTGAAGTGCGGAGATGTATGTGTGAACTCCTAGACTTGCAGCTGGTACCCATTTGATCTAGCTTGGATGGCTAAGGTTGAACTGCCCAGAACCTGATCAGATGAAGATAAAGATGTTGATACTCTGAGCAAGTGTCAGTTGCTACAATCTGATGAACTGGACTTTTGCTTATGGATGAAAGTGCTCAAAATTCCAACAGGAATGGAAGATTCTTCCTATCAAGGAGCATGCTTGTCTCCCCAGTGTACTGGGTTGAAGTTGTTGTTAAGTGCTGTCGAGTCAGTTCCAACCCATAGCGACCCTGTATAGGGTTTCAGAGGAGCAGCTGGTGAACTTGAACCACCGACCTTGCAGTTCAATCGGCTTTGCAGTCTGGCACATTAACCCACAGCGCCACACCAGGACTCCACTGGGTTGATTGTTGTTAGGTGTCATCGAGTCAATACTGACTCATAGCGACCCTGTGCACAGCAGAACAAAACACTGCCTGATCCTGGGCCAGCCTCACTATTGTTGCCATGCTTGAGTCCATCGATGCTGCCACTTGGCCAATCCATCTCGTTGGGTGTCTCCCTCTTTTTCTCTGACTCTCCACCTTACCAAAGGAGCTCTGGTAGCATAGTGGTTACAAATTGGACTGCGAACCGCAAGGTCAGCAGTTCGAAACTACCAGCTGTTCCATGGGAGAAAGATGAGGCTTTCTGCTCCCGTAAAGATTTACAGCCTCGAAAACCCTGTACAGGGTCGCTCTGAGTCAGAACCGACTCCACGGCACA